AAGGTTTCACTATGTTGCTCATACAACATTTTAAACTTAAAATAAGTTTATGCATGTAAATTTATTTTAAGTATATATTGCTCAGGCTATAGTCTCAGACTCACGGCCTCCAGTAATCCACCCACCTCAGCCTCCCAAGTAGCTGGAACTACAGAAAAGCACCATCATGCCTAGTCTCCTGTTTTGTTTTTAAAGGTTGAAAAATAAAAAATAGTATGAAACAAAGACCTACGTAGATCCCAAAATCTAAAATATTCATTATTAGACCCTTTAATAGAAAATCTTTACAGATCCAGGATCAAGACTAAAAAATAGTAAATAATTCTAACCTAATAAGTGACCAACTTTATTAAGAAGCCAAAAGGAAAATTATTATTTAGATTAAATCTAACCATTTAGATTACCAATATCACCTATTAATATTCTTAATGTGGCTGAGATTTAACACTTGACACATGCTATAACTTATCTGAAATGACCTCAAATGTAGCCTCCTAGCAAAAGTTATAGGTCAAAAAGAACTTTCAGGTTTTTTTTTTAAGTTCTACTTAAAAGAGAGCAAGTGTTTCCACTTGCTCTTTTAAGTTTTCTTTAAAATCCAAGAGTTAACCTAAAATGTGAACCATTATATTGTACAACGAGATCTAGAATAAAGAAGACTCAGTAGGAAAACTGAGGTAACTAAAGGTGATCTAGTAAAGTTGTTAAAGTGTAGTTTGATTGAATATTTTCCTAATGCCTAAAAAAAAAGAGAAAAAAAACAATATCTCCCTTAGCAAGATACTCAAAGAAATCTAAATACAATTAGAAGGAGCATCCACCAGCCAAAGACACAGCTAAACTCCACTGATGAGCAGTTCAAGATATGTAAACAGAACTGTAAAAAATAGGTAATCATTTGCAGTCCCATTAAATTATTTCTGAGAACTCTTTAGCACATAAAATGTTATCACTTCCCAAACTATGAATCAAACTTCTTACTTACACTTTCAATAATTCCTCATGAGGGGGGAAAGAAGATACCTATTTAAAAAGAATTAAATGTTATTTCAAAACAAAACTTCATAGAAGAAAAAAAAAATCTTCTCACATATAAATTAAGACAATACCAAAAGAGAAAATACCATTGTTCCCCGTGTTAGCACCTTAACTTTGTGATTTTAATAAAATCATGTACACATTTGTAAGATGTACTGAGTATTAACTCTAATCTTCATTGTCACTATATACTTAAACTCTTCATTTAACAAATACTTATTAATTTCCTATGGGTAAAGCACTGAGGTAATATTTAACTAAAAACACTGACTTTTCACTTGGGGTTGCAAAAGGAAAAACTTGACATCTCTGTCTCCAGTTTACATCTGACTGTTTTGTTCTAAATCACCTTGGATTCCAGGTACAAGAGGTATAATCGATAAACATCATGTAATGAGTCAAAACTACTCCCCAGGCAACAATAACTTTTTCATCATCCCAACAATGTCATCCTGACCAATTCTGAAATAATAAAAAACCTGGCCACAATCTGACCAAAAAAGATTGCTAAACTATGCATATTTCTGGTTCCTCTTGTCTATATTATCTGTAAGCTCATGCCAGTACCCCCAAAGACAAGGCTAGAAACACTGATTTCCCTTTTACTTCCTGGTGTCCCACCAAGATTTAAGTTCCTTTCCTGATTTTCACCATTACTTTTTCTGTTTTGAGGGTAACTAGCCATATTTTATTTATTTGGATCCCTGGAGCCAGTCTTCCAGCCTAGGACTCCAGTAATAGAAGTAGCTTGAATTTCCATACTTTATAATCCATATTTCACTATGTAAAAATTTTAATCTTTCAAAAGTAACTTTAAAAAACCCTTAAATGAAAATGAAATCAAAAGGAAAGTTTGGAAATTTTCCTAATATGTAACAAAAAGTTCACTTTTAC